CCCCCTACCCATAAAGTTGCTCGTGGAAACGGGAAATAAATCGTACGAAGTAATAGTTATACTAGTAATAATAATATTGATGACAACAATAATAACAATAATTATAATTTTTATTGCAAAACGGTCTTTATTCAATGTACAAAATTGGCTCATTCGTCGCTTTCATCGTCCACATTCTCATCTACATCATCAACGTCGTCGCCGTTGTCATCGTCTAATTCCTCTGGCACTAGAGGTGCGAGATTGCATATCGTTTATCGTAATATTCTTTCCATGTACAACTTTTACATTTATAAATCTACATTTTCCGAATAATTAAGGAATGAATTAATTACAAATTCATGCTGCATTACCATGTGTTCTCATTTAAAATTTACAATTTGCATGTGCTACAGTAAACAAATAAGTTACATTTGCATTGAATTGAATTTATTTTTTGAATTGCAGTAATTCATCAAGTTTTAAGTTATAATAATGACTTATTGCAAAAATTGCAAAGCCTTGTATAATATTATATGTGATTTGTGTTGCATTATACGTAGGTGTGTGTTGCAAACAGCATAAGGTAACATAATCCCGGAACGATATAACTGTTTTCTCAGTACACTCTCGTTTTAACTGCTCATAATGCAAGACATTTATATTTTTTTTTCGTAATTATTAAATTTACTATACGTTTGAAAATTTGTATACTTTGGAAATATACTTGTTACGAATGTAATTGGAATTTTAGTTTATTGTAATTTTTAAATTATTTTTTAAACATAATGCAGCATGACTTTTAATCACTTCGCTCTGTAATTATTATAAAGGAAACTGTACATGTATACATGTAAAAAATATTACGATAAACGTATCATGAATATAACCTCAAGCGACACGTGCTTTCGGAGTTATATGAAATATTACATTTTTTTAAGTAAATGTCAGATTATTTTCATGATAAAAAAAACACCTATGAAATAAATATCATGACATTGCATAAATATCATAAATACTTACCGAAATCACTTATTTTTTCACACACTTATTAATACGTTGAAGCACTGAAAAATCCGTTAACTCCGCACGACCGGCACGACTCTACAGCTAGAGCACACACACCGACGC